TCAGGGTCTAGATCGCCTACTTTCAAAATTCAAGAAACCTTGCCGAAAGCAGTGCAATGCAAGGGCTCCCTTCCATACGAATGCCAGATGCTCCTTGAGCTGCACTACGCTACGGATGCTGATGTAGACTAGACTCCGTAGAAATAGTGGTATACAAGGGTTTCGGGTTTAGGGTACACGGAATGTATAAAGTGGGGCTTTGTTTCACGGTATTTGGAGCGTGTATAAATAAAGATTTTCTTTGAAGTATTGATGAGTGCATACATTGGGTGTCCGTTTGGGTGTACCCCAATAGTTGACTTGCGGCACCAAATATTGTAATCTGAAGGGTATTTGATACCTTGTGCCCTCATATGTGGGTACTTCGCATACATGGGGTCCCTCAAAGTGCCCCTCATTTCGCAAGATTCCCATGTGCTTGCCGCTACGCTTGCTGATGTAGGAGCCGGGAGGGCTAGACGGAGGATTTTGGGGACTTCCCAGAACCCCCAAATTAGCAAATTAGGGTTTAGGGTTTAGGGCAAAGGGATCTGGAAATTGGATTCCGGGCAACTACGAGAAAGATCCCTGGGTTTTGGGCGACACAGAATCTCGCTGTGCAGGGCTTGCCAGGCGATGGTCTTGTAAGGTTTTGCTGAGTATGCTATGCCTGGCGCGATGCACGCATATCCCCTGTGCAGGGCCATGCCATTTTTCCAGTGAGACTGAAACTTTCCAGATGCAAGAAAAGTTTTGCCAAGTACAATTTGAGCCAACCTGAGCAATTTGCACCAAACTGGTAAACCAATATGTTAACCCCAGTATACTATCATTCTGGCAAGCCTGCACTAACCCTGCACAACCAATCCGCTCCCTATTGTCCCATACCTTTTGCGCTTGTTAGTTGGTAACCATTGTCCCTTTTGTTGGGGGTCCATATAATGAGGATTATAAGATTCGTGTTTCCCTTATTTTGGAAACGTCCACATGTCTATACAACGACGTCCAATTCAAGGAAAAGCCTTCCTAAATGAAATGGGTTTGGTGGCGTAGCACTATACTTGCATGTGGACTACAGCTGTATCAAATTGGTAATTTGAGGGTTCCCTTAAACAGACGCAGTATGTCCTGTCATATCACTACCTATACCCTTTTCTGCAACCCCTAGATATCCTTACGTACTCTCAGATGTCCTATATACCGCGGTATAGCCCCAGACTCACAGGGCCCGAACGCTAAGGCGCGGTCTTGCAGGGAGAACGAAGCGGGCTCAGCATTCTTCGAGGTTTTCCCGTGCTCCTTTTAGGGTTTAAGGTTCGAGATTTAGGTATGGTGGGGTCGTTTTGGGGGTAGAAGAATGGGGGTGCACGGCGACTCTGGCTTGCTGAAAATTTCAGGTTTTTGGTTAGCGTTGCATGCCCGCAATGCATGTCCATGCTGGTGTGTCGCAGCATGTGAGAACGTGCAGGTTTGATTTTGTTTGTTATACTGTTTCTGGCTGTTTCAATAGAACTTCTTCGGTTGTTGAGAAGAAGATCGGAGCAACATTTCTTTTTAAGTGCCCTGATCTCCCTCGTTCGTCACAAAGCTGTCGATGAGAGGCAGGGACTTGTGCAAAATTCTGCGGTCTATTTTGCTCTGACTGCGTGCCGACAGCTTCGAGTGCTTCTTTTGTAAACAGCTTACAATAAGTAGTCCTGTCAAGTGTGCTGCCCTACATGCTTGCAAATATTGTCTTGTGCAGCTTGTCTTGTTTGTGGTCGTGGTCTTGAGGTTTATATCGCCGTCCTCGTTGAGTGTTCTTTCTTTTCAACACCTCTCCCTATAACCTCCCCCCCACCCGGAACAGCCCCGAATGACAAATGCTCTATAATATACCCACTGGTACTTCATGAGGGTGTTAGTATAGGGGGCGGTTCAAATTAGGGAGGGGGTTCATCTCCCGCGACATCGCTGTCAGTATTGATGCCGCAATGTTTCCTTATTTTGTCGGGCTTGCGGTAGGGCTTGGTGGAAGGTTTGCGTGATTTTACTCGTTGATCATGCGGCCAGACCTTAAAATCTGGGAGTTTTTTCAAATCAAATATCCTTACAAGGCCTCCCAACAGGGCCCAATCCATTTGTAATCCCCAAATACCCGAAACCCTAAACCCTAAACCCCAAGGGTACCCTATTCAGGACAGGCTCCTATCCCCCCATGTGCCTAAACCCTATACCCTGGATGCAAGGCATAAAGAAGCGGGCGATAAAAACCGAACCCCAATCCCTAAACTCGAGCGCCTGCAGTGCGACGCACGTGCCGAAATCCTAGGCAGGAAAACGTCCAAGTTATGGCCAGTTAACGCTCTAGTTTGTTTATTGTCTATCAAAGACCACACCCGTGTTCGTAATATGCTTCCCCTAAACACTAAACCCAAACCTAACATGAACACCCCAAAGCGTGAATCGATTGAGCCAAGGCTTGCTCCGAGTACATGCCGAGCGCGTCTTTGTGCCTTCGCCCCTAAGCCCTGTTGGTCATGGAAGTTGCAATACCGGTTTGGGGTCAGGGGGACACGGTAATTGTTCTTATAGCCCCTATACGCCATGTGATGCTCCCAGTTATCCCATTATCAACCTTCTGAAGTCCCCCTAACCCTCCACGTACTGGGGGGGTGGTCTCAAAAGGGGAGCCCTCAGAGGCCGTAGGGCAATCTTGGGATTGTGAGCAGCGTATGCGGCTCCTCTGAAGGACTATACAGGGTTCAGAAGCCCGTATATTTTGAAGGTAAGGTGCCTAAGTTTCTTCACCACCTTGAGTGGTCTTCATTATTCTTTGAGTGATGCAGCTCACCTCAAGTCGCACCACGGATCATCGCTCTTAATAAATCGTTATTTCTAAAGATGCCCGCTCTCTTGACATGGGGTGCGCAGTAGAGGGGATATGTGCATAGCTTCATGCTGTGTAGGGATTGCAACAGGACATTCAAAGAATCCCTAAACCCAAAACCGTAAATTTTCAAATCCCTAAACCCCAAACCCCAAACCTTAAATTGTTAGATCCCTAAACCCCAAACCCCAAACCCTAAGCTTTTAAATGACTAGGGACCTAATGAACTTCTTGCAGACACCAGGCTAAGAGAGCCCATCCATAGTGAAATTGCTCCTGGCCTCACAGTCTAGAGGTCTTGGGATTTAGGGTTTGGGGT